GCCCGTTGCTGTGTGTGTGTGTGTGTGTATGGCTGAAATGGAATTGTGAATAATGGTTACAGTTGCGATTCATTTCTGCATTTACGAGGCTTTAGTGAAGTTAAGGAGGATAGAGCTCAAGTTTGCTGATATTGGTGGTATTCGTCTTACGGTCTTTTCAAGAACTGAAGTGCAAGCTTCGCTTTTGAGTTGCGGCAAATTGACTACGTCATATTAACAGTGAGGAAAATATACGGAGTGAGGAACTTTTTCCTTTATTGCATAGCGATATTTGAATGTAAAGTGCAATAGTTTGCTGTTTTACATACTTAGCGATAAAATAACACAACAAGTGTTTCCTCTCATGCTGATTATCATATTTCACATTGGATAGTCAGCTGTGAGTTAGATCAGGGCGAAGTGCAACAACATGAGGCATTTGCATCAGCCAGCACAGTCGTTTCATTCATCCAGTCTTTTATGGCCACACCACACCATGACACTATGATATCCCTGTTGTTTGCAAGTCAGCAAATTGCTACCCGTTTGTCGGCTGGTTGAGCAGAATAGCCGAATCAACTTGGGATTAATTCCTTGCTCAAGTGAGCTAGAAATTTGAAACAGATTTTATTTTTTTCGTGATTGAAACCCGACCTTTTTGCCTCTGTGCCCCCGCGTCCTTATGAGAACGTCAGTATTTTCGTAAAACACTGCATAAATATATGACAGATAATAAGTAATGTATTATTGGATAGTACTACTATATCAATGGCGTTGTAACAATGCTATTATTATTATATAGTAAGACATTGGCTTGCTTGAAGTTGTGTTATATATTGCAGTAGAATCCAATATTATGAATACCATTCTCCGCGGAATGTACCGTTTCGATCGTTTTATGCTTTAATTCCATAATCAAGTATTATTTTTCCGGATTTCATGCAAATCGTAGATTATCTGTTCTTGCCGTTTGTCCGATTATTAAAATTGTCTTTTGCTTTGAGCTACCTCCATCTCACTTTTCACTGCTGAAATCAAACCAGACATGTGGCGCCATCGGTTTTCATTCGACTTTGCATACCAGTGGGTCACAACCTTCTTATTAGCTGCTGGTTCCCTTGAGCATGAAAATCGCCAAAAAATTTACTTCGTATTACCATCCGAGAAACTTATGACGATGTGTGAGAAATGTATGTCAGGAATGTGGGAACATTATGCACAGCATTTTTTCCTCATGAAATTTCACCAGAACTTGCTAAACTTATTGTCATTGCGTTTGATGCTTGTTTCTTGGTGTCGCAGTTTT